TCACAAGTTCTCTCATCTTATCCCATAAAACCCATCAAAACTTGTGCAACAACAAACTATATATGAGAAAAAGTGGCTTCACTTTCACCTTTTCCTTCAAACTTTATCTCCTGTAATGAGAATCCACCTCCTGATTCGATTCAAGCGATTGTAGTTTCGATCAATTACTATATTCTCGGTGTAATATCAGACCAAGAAGAATGGATTTCGCTTAAACAGAAATGCATCACAATGCTAAGCATTGAAGAAGAGAATACTACTCTGTTCGAATTCTCCTCTGAACACTCTGCTCTCTCTAATCTCTATTGGGGAATCGAAAGCATCGAAGCTTTGATACAAGACGAATACTCATAAGAAGAGAAGATGTCTCGTTTGCGAAGCTCAAAGAGGATGCTTCAAATGCCTGCATTGCTTGATGAACAAGGGACCACAACTTCAAGTGTTCCAAACACATTCTTGGTTGCTTTCTCTTACTTTAACCTCTCCATTGTAAGCTATCTCTATTGGATTGTATATATAAACCAGTATTTACACAGAACCGGTATATATACAATCCAATAATCTCCAAGCTGATTCCTTGCAGTGTGATCACAAACTATTTGAAGCAGATATATTGCTTCAGCTGAATTCACTGGTTAGTAAACACTATATAAAACCATGTCTTGCTGATTCCATTTCTATAAAGAAATAATTATGTATTGAAATTGTCTTTAGGATTCTCCTCCTGAGAGCAAAAAGTTCAATGGCTATCTTTAGAATTCTCTGTTATTGATGTAAGGCTATTATATAGCCATTGTTTTCCATTATCTTTTCAGCTCATCTCTTTATATCAAAGCAACATTCTACATATATAGCAACTCCACATATCACTGTCCTAATTGTTTAGCAAAAAAAAAAATCACTGTCCTAATCTGTGCTTATAGCAATAAACAAGAAACAAATTGTAACGAGAGCCATTTTTTGTGTTCATCTCCTAAAATATCATTATTCATTTTTGTCTCACCTTTATTGAAGTTATTTTCTGGGAAAAAAACATGGATTTAGTCCAAACAAGTTCGAGTTTATTTTTTAAAGTACGTTCAGGTACACACAGAATCCATTCTATATACCCGATGTGAAATAATATTTTTATTTAAATAAAATAAATCACTAAACTCGAGATTTCGTCTCCGAGTGATTGTAGGGCCCATTGCGTCCTCTAAAGCCCAGCCCACTAAATATCACCGTTTTCACTAAAATAAATTACCGTAACAGGAGTATTGTCAATAACAAAATATTAGCCATTGAAAAGGTTTCATCTTACGGCTATAAATGACCTGTTTTAGTTTCTTACGTGACAGTCGCTTTCTTTAATTTCGCTTGATTGAGAAAGACGAATATACCCCTCCTAAGGTGCGTTGCTTTACGCTCCTCTCG